TAGCTCTGTGACCTTCAACATGTGCCCTCGAGTAAAATGGAGGTAATTCCTGTCTTAGAGGCTTTTTTTTTTTTTTTTGAGGAATGAAGGATATAATGCCTGAGTATCCCTCCCCAACTATGTTAGAAGTTAGCCAATACTAACTTCTATAGAGACCTTTGAGCCTTGATTCCTCAAGAGTACCAAAACATTTTTTGTCACAAGTATCCATCAAGGGAAACAAAGTTTCTACAAATCTTAGTGAGTATGGTCTGTTTTATATTGTCTCTTAAGGAAGAAAAACTGACCAGCAAGAAGAGCGTAGGAGACAAAAGCAGATGAAGGTCCTGAAGAAGGAGCTGCGCCATTTACTCTCCCAGCCATTGTTCAAAGAGGACCTGAAAACGAAGTATCCAACTCAGTCTGGCAAGCTGCCCACGCTCATGTCTACCCCAAGAAACGGTGAGTCTGCCTTGAGCTGCCTCACCAAACAGAAGAAGAAGCAGAAGAAGCCGCCGAAAGAGCAGCAGCAGGAACAACCGCAGCCAAGTACAAGTGCAAATTAACTGCACTCCAGGTCAGTCTGTTAGTGACTGCACATTGTTTCTATGTTCTCTGGTTATGTGGAAAAACTTCCCACTTTCCTTTTCACTCTGCTATCAACCCTGGTTATAAAAATCTCTCTCTTCCATGCCAGCCCGAATCGCAAGAGAGACCTCATGCACATTTGTGTTGTTTTGGAGTAAGAACTATATGCAGCAGCTTATGTATTTCTGTATTCCAGTATGTATAGGCTTCTTATATGTTCAGCTTGTTTTCGTCAATTAAAAGTCAGAACCAGCATGTTATCCTGAGTTTTTAGTCAGAATATAGCTGTCCTAATCCTCTGGTTGCAGGATGCATGTGGGGTGTGTTTCATCCCATTGGATAGTGTGGCTGGAGTAGTAGTCTTAGCTTGTGTTCCTGCTTTTCTCCACAGCAGAACCCTAATAGCTCTTTAGCTCTCTAGCATTCACATTCTCTTATCTGAGCCACACTGCAAGATGGGCAGGGAAGAGGTTGCCATCCTTGGGTTCCAAGAGAACACAGGCTTCCTTAACATCGCAGCGATCTGTGGGGAAGCCAGTAACAGGTATGCAGAGTCTGGCATTGTGAGGCCCTCCAGCCTTGTCTCCCCTCCCCTCCTCTGTCCTGAAGTGGTTGTTGCCCACAGTCCCACGCACCCTTTCTCTTGTCCTGAGCCTTTATACAAGCTTTTCCCTCCACCTGCTTGCCTTTTTCCCCATCCTTGAGCATGGCTATGTGTTCTCTAGGTCCCTGAGGCCTCAGGAGGGCAGTGTCCATAGTAGCCGTGCTTACCCTCTCAGTAGCACTTGGCCCAGGCACACTGTATTGTCTATGTTAAGCTCCTTGACAGCATAGGCTGCTTTATTATGCCTTGCAGCCCTTGGGCTTAGGCCAGGGCATGATGTTAATACGTGCTGAGGGAACCAGTGACTTCTTAGTGTGTGTGCCCCACCCCCCCAGCTTTCTCTAGGTTAGTCTAGGTGAGGAGCCACAATTGCCAGAGAAGCATAGATTTCTTCACAGCTACATCTGGACTTCTAAACACATGTCCCCTTGGTTTCATGGTTGACAGGTTGGCAGGATGGCAGCAGTGTTCCCTCAGCCCCTCTGGGTAACTACAGTAGGACAGCTGGACTGAACTCAGAGTCAGGTGTCCTTGAGTGCTGATCAAGTACCAAGCACTGTTAGGCACTTTCATCTACTTTATCATTTGGTTTTCTATTTTAAGATTTTAATTATTTGTTAGAGAGTACAAGCAGAGGGAGGGGCAGGCAGAGGGTGAAGCAGGCTCCCCGCCGAGCAGGGAGCCCGATGCGGGACTCAGTGCCAGGACCCTGGGATCATGACCTGAGCCAGAGGCAGACCCTTAACCAACTGAGCCACCCAGGCGTCCCTATCATTTGGTTTCTAACAAGCATCTGAGATACAAGTCTTAATACCTTTTTGTAGTTGCGAAGGCGACACTGAGTGGTTTAAACTTGCTCAGATCACAGAGTGGCCAAATGGCAGACCTGGGATTAAAACCGTGGATATTTCCTTGTGGGCATGTACAGAAAACTGCTTCAGTCTTAAAAGGACAGCAGTGTTGTTAAGGAATGTCTCCCCAGGGTCACCAGTGACCCAGAGAGGAGAATGCAGTAGAAAACAATCCTAGTCTGTGAGATCAGTTCTTGGGTGACAGTTGGTGGAGGATGGCCGGGGACTCACCATTATCCAGATGATACAGTGGCGATTTGAGCAGCCCTAAGGAGACTTGGTGGCACCTGAGTCATGAGAGGCCTGAGGCTACTGGTCACAGGCCAAACAGACCCACCGATGTCTGTTGACATGTTGCCCTGTCCCTTAACAGCAAATGCTCTTATTTTTTATTTATTTATTTTTTTTGTGGGGTAGTATGTTAAGGGGAGTCGGTTTTAAAAGATAAGGTTAGCATCCCAGGCAGTTCTGTTATTTGACTTGATGACGTAAAGCCTTGGTGAATCCTGTAGTTTCTTGGCATCTCCAGCCCAAGGGCAGAACTTGCTGAGTTTATGGATCTTCCATTAAAGGAGAACCCGCTCTCTCCTGCTAATCAACTCACACACATAGCCCTATGGGAGAATGTTGATCTTCAGTGCATGTCAGATACCAAATACTAAGAAACCAGGATAAAAGTTGTCATGGAAACCATTTTAATGCTAGGAAAACGTTTCCACCAACTGCCGGGAGAAGCTGTAGGGCCTGCCCACACCACCCCCCCCAACCCTGGGCAGCTGCTCACTGAGCCACAGCTCCTGCCCCCATTTTCCACAATGTGAGAATGGTTCTTAGACTTGTCTAATGGCTCCTGACACTTCCCCATTTGGGAAGCCAGAGTCCCTGCCAAAGAGGTGTTTGCCCAGATTGCAGCAAGTGTTCTGCTTCCCCGCTTGTAGAGCACTGGCTGTCAGATCTCGTACATACTCTTATTCCACTTTAACCAGTGACCTTGTGCTGCATAGGTATTGTCTTCATTTCACTGATATGGGAATTAGGGCTCAGAGGTGAAGTTCTTGGCCAAGACCTAGTAAGTGAAAAGGGAGGATTCAAACCCAGGCGGGTCTGGCTCCAGAACCCCTTTGTGCATAAAATAGGAACCCAGTCAAAAGCAAGGACAGTTTGTTCTTTTTGTTGCTAAACATTCCCATTTATAAAGTTCCCTTTGGAAGGAAAATAATAAATGTGCAGTTATAAAGACAGACTGTCAAAGCAACTCTCCTGCCCCCGTTTGGTCTGGACAGAGATGGCTTGGTGAGGTGGGTAGAGAATTATCCAGGAAGTGTGAATGCCAGCATAACTGGCTACCATAGACGAGCAAAGTTAACCTCCCCAGATGGCTGGATTTAAACAAGTTCCTGAAGTCTGCCACTCCCTTTTCGGCATTGGTGCTTGCTCTCAGATCATCTGAGGGCAGATGAGAAGGCAGAGAGCATGGAATGGACCAGTGGTTTTGTGGAGGAAAGGGGGAAGCACATTGTAAGAACATGAGAATAATTTGCCTGTCTGTGGCATTCTGATTCTAAACTGATAGGATCTGTCCTTGGAAGAGGGTCCCATACGAGCACTGGTGGGCTCTCAGACCTGGAGGCACAGCATGGGAAGCCTGAGAGGGAATTTCTCCAGCCAGTCTGCCAAAGCGAAATCTCTGCTTTTGTGGACATGCCAAGAAGTGGCAGCTGCCGCTTATGCGTGTGTGAGAGCCCAGCCGGAGGCGCAGGCCATCCCGCAGCCCCTCGGAGCGGCCACGAGCATTCAGCCCAGTGCTGTGTTCGTACCCTTTGGTTTGAGATAGTCACAAGTCACATAACATTTCCCCTGTTCTTCCAGTATATTTGTCACAGATCCTAGCACTCCTACCCAGAGCAGGGTGGGACATCACCAGTTCAGAGATCAAGGTCAGGTTTACATTCCTGTGGAAAAGTGACATGATCACTTCGTATGAGCCCTTGGGTTTAAGCTCCAGCTGAGGGCAGTAGGGGAACCTGGGTCCCTGCCTGGCATTAAAGCACCCTAACGTCTGTCTTCACAAAGGCAGAAGAATGATACAAATCTGCTGTTTGTATACAAGGCCTCAGCAATCTGCTGCCCAGTCCCTGTACACAGCCTGGCTGGCAGCTGACATGCAGGGTGGATTCTCATAAATCCCCACAGATTGGAACCTGTGAGAAAACGCCTTGGGTTAGGGAAGTCACCCATGGGCAGTTCCACACTTCTACAGTCTCCGTTTCCTCCCACAGAGGAAGAGAGCTTGCTAGCAGTACCCGAGATAACTGAGGCTCTTCAAGATCCTGGGGGCAGCAAGGTGACAAGGTTACTAAGGGGCATGTCCAGGTGGATGAACAAGGAGGCTGCCAGCCAGGGCTCTTGACTTCTAAGCAGTTTTCGTAACAGAGATCTCCCTTGCTGCCGGTTTCCTGGGCTTGTCTCTGTTCTTTCCCACCTAACTTCCTGCCAGCCCACAAAACCAAGCAGAAGGGGAAAAAGGGAAAGAAGCCACACACCACCTTGCAAAATTTGTCTGCCCTGCGCAGCTGGAGTCTGTGGCTGCATGTACTGTTGTCTCCACCTGGAGGATTACCTAGATTCTCATTCTAGGCTGTGTTGGGGATGGTGAGATAGCTTCCTGGTCCCAGACCCCAGCCTTTCTTGAGCCTCTGTTCAGGTGGGGTTAGCAGCAGAATCCTGAAGCGCCTGCCAAAGGCAAGCAGGTCTGGCCCTGAGAGAGGGAGAGAGGGCCACAACAACCCGAGCTTTATGCTGAAGGCCCCTTTTTAGACTTCGGCATAAAAGTCTCTCTTTCCTCTTTAGGTTAGGGTAAGAAAACACTCCCATGGTGAATGTTTGGAACCACGCTGAAGCCCTCACATTGGCCAACTGGCCAGTGCTTCCGTCAGCCATCTACCAAAGTCCAGTCTAACAGCTGATTGGACTGGATTCTTTTTTTGTAGAACTTGGGAAGTCACTGAAGACCTCTGACCTTGAGCTTTTCCTCCCCAGCAGAGAGGCACGGAAAGGAAACCAGAGGGCCCTATTTTTTATATGACAACAGAATGTCAGCACTGGCAGGAATCTTCTCTAGATGAAGAAATGGGCCCAGAGAGGGGAGGTGACCTGCCCAGGGTCTCAGGGAACTGGGAGCAGTTGGCTTTCTAACTCTTCCTCTGGCTTTGTAGCCCTGAGTTAGAAAGCATTTGATCCTCCATGAAAATAAATACTAACAATATCACTAAGTTACCACAGTCGATAATGGGTAGGCCTCCTTCCCAGTGACTTTGCCCAAAAGGCTGTACATTTTCTAACTGTAGTTTAAGTTGCTTAAAAAATTGAAAAGCCAGAATGTTCCATTTAGAATGCAGTCCCGTTAGGTGACAGGCTCCACTGCATGGCCTAAAATTAATCAATGTTTATCGGCTGCATAAAGGATGTTGTAGTGGGATGTTTTATAGAGCAGGTAAACGGAAGGGGTGGCAGCCTCGGGGAACACGTGGTGGTTCAGGGCCGTGTCCATCTCATCCACATACTCCACCTGCAGGGCGATGTTCAGTGCCTGAGACAGGGCTGTGATCTGGATGTGGTCACACTCCATGGCCATGGGCTCCACTTCCTGCAAAGGCCAGAATGAAAAAACAAACCCAGTTTAGGAAGGAGGCCTGGCAGAAGACAAATGAAGTCCAGCCCTGGCTTTCACGGCCCTGGGTCAAAGGATCTATGCTGGGAAATAATCTTCACAGTAGCTCATCAGGTAGGTACTGCCATCCCGGTTTCTAGAGGAGGAAACCAGCCCCGTGAGGAAGAGCAGCCAGAAACCCACTAGAACTGCAAGGCTTGAATCTAGATCTTTCTGATTCCAGACTCTAGTGGTATGTGAGAACACTACTTTCAAGATTCAGGGCGGGGGTGGGCAGAATTTTTGAGTTTGGGCCTGGTAATGCACAGAACCAAAGAATCTCAGAGCGGATGAGGACCGTTATGAAGGGATTTCACATTAGGGCTAGGCGAGTGAGTGAGTCTGAATGTTGAAGAGGCAACCGAGAGAGGCAGAGATGGTGGTAGGCTGGCAAGTGTGTCCCACATAACCAGGGCGGCCGCCACTCCGCTCCTGCTGATTGTGACCATGCAGGAATAAGGCCCTGGGAGCTGGGTCTTCCGAGAGAAATCCAGAGAGTCAAGAACGCTGCCCAGGGTTTAAATGTTGGCAACTCCGTTTCAGATAAATACCATACATCATAAAACACATCTAAGGACAAATGTGACTCTGGGGCTGCTACTCTGCAACTTTTTTTTTTTTTTTTTTTAAGATTTATTTGACAGAGACACAGTGAGAGAGGGAACACAAGCAGGCTCCCTGCTGAGCAGGGAGCCCGATGCGGGGCTCGATCCCAGGACCTGGCATCATGACCTGAGCCGAAGGCAGACGCTTAACCGACTGAGCCACCCAGGCGCCCCTGCTACTCTGCGATTTTGTAAACAGTCTAGTCCAAGGCCCTCATTTCTCAGATGGGAAATCAGAGGCCTGGATGGGGGAAGTACTTGCCCAGAGCCACACGTTCAGTAGGCAGCTCAAATAGGATCTGTTTCTGGCTTGCTAATCTTCAAATTACAAATGCAGGTGTGACATCAAGTCCCCTGGCTAGGGATGATGGCACTCAAGTCTCCCGAGGGGAGAGGGGCTTTCACGGCACTTCCCCATGGTCCACATGCTGAGTGCCCTGTCCTCCCCGGTGTGTACAGTCCCAGGAGCTGGGTATTACACAGCAGGTCCCAGGGCTGGGGGCTAAGTCCCCAAAGCTTGAGACCCTGAGGACCTACATGAGTACAGAAGTCCTTGATGTCCATCTCCTCATCAATGAAGTGTCGGAAGAATTCCGCGCGGTTCTTGATGAAGGCTGAGGTGAGCAGGCGCAAAAACTGCACGATTTGGTCCGAGGCGCTCTGGTCGTTGAATACCTTCAGCAGGCTGGACACTGACCCGTCCTTCTCTACCAGCTCTACCACACTGTAAAACTGCACCCCGCTGGGCTGTCAGTCGGGGGGCACAGGCAAGACCTACCCTCCCCCATGGGACTCTTTCCACAGGACCCTCCCCCACCATGTGTATTTCCATTTTGAAATCCTCAAATTGAGTTACCAAAATAAGTCAATCTGGGACCAAGCTAAGTAGAGGGTTAGAAATGCTCTGCAGTGCATACCTTAGCCCAGAGTCCTGTCTAGGGAACGGCAGTTGGGTTTCCTCCCATCACTGTGGTTATTGGGATTCTTATCTATAGATTCAGAACTGAATCCTCCAACCCCACGCCCCCTTCACTAAGGGGATCAGGGTTGTAGGGTGGAGAGGGGACATCTGAAGGAGGCTGGGGGATATTTCCAGCCTGAGAGCTACTGCCCCAAAGGAGGTGCCTCTTCCCTGTGGGAGGGCAGGGCCCTGGGCTCCTTGTCCCCACACACAGGAAGCAACTGTCCTTCCCCAGATGGGAGGAGCGAGGACATAACCACAGAGCCATGGGCTGTGAGGGGGCTCCGGCCAGTGCCCATTCCTGCCTGCTCTGCCAGCATGGAAGGACCTGGACCCTCAGCTGTCCTGCCCAGGTTAACTTACAGCATTAAAGAAGTTTCGGAACTTGTGCTCCTCAAAACCAGCAGCCAGAAGGTCATTTGGGGTCTGCAGGACACGTTCTTTGAACCTAAAGGGGGTAGACTGATGGCTCACGGGGAAATGCTGATGGAGCACTGCTGTACAGTCAGTGTCCTCCCGCTCTCATCCACTGCCCCCAACAACTGAGGAGGGGTGTGTCACAGGTGACTGACTTCTGTCCTCCCCAGTGTATACAATCCCAGGAAGGGGGTGTTACACCCATTTCACAGATTAGGAGACTGAGGTAGTCACCACCTACTCCCAGACATGTTGATTCTACCTTTCAAAGGTTTTTGAACTCTGTCCCTCCTTCCTGTCCCCATGGTTCTTGCCATATGACCACCATCTCTGGCCAGGGCCATGCCCAACCTTCCCGTGCTCCCAGTCCATTCTCCACGGGGACCTCCGGAGTGACCCAGCACAGCCTTCTCCCTCAGGACACAGCTCCTCAGCACGAGCGTCTAAGGGAGGACCCCAGCCTAGCTCCCCCAGCCTAGCTCCCCAACCTCCTCTCCCTTCGCAGCCTCCCTCCCACCCCAGGGCCACTCCCCATTTGCATGTCACTCCTTAGCACCCTGTCCTGTCAACCAGCGGCCTGTACCTACTCACAGGAGCTAATTGTTCAGTTTTCAAGATTTGACCAGCTGGGTGTTAAACATAGCCACCACTTGAACTATACTCCAACACAAAGATAAATATCAAGAACTCAGTTTCCTAATTGTCTCTGCCCTTGAGGCTATGTCTGTCTGTTGTGTGTGGTGGCGGAGATGTGACTGGGCTGTGGGATATTTATCTCTTCCCTGCTTCCTGCTCAGTGACCCCATGACGGTGGCTTGGAAACCAGTCCTGAAAGTATTTATACCCCAGAAAGGGTTATACCACCACCAGTCAGACCCCCCCTGCCCCACAGCCGTGAAGCCTTCATCAGCACCGGCCCCCCTTTAAACCGGTGCGGTGGCGCTTGCTCTGTCAGTGCCGGCCCCTCCGTCTCTGCTCCCACTGCAGGCCCCTCACAGTATGGCCCCCTCCTGAGACCTGGGGCTCGGGGGCATGGCGAGGAGCTGAGCTACAGAAACAGCGACTGGCCCGTGGGGGGAGGGTAGCAGCCCATGCAAGGAGGACCAAGTGGGGGGGGGCAGCTGGCACTGGCTGAGCTGCATTCCGTCCCCTGGGAAGGGAGGCTAGACTCCCAGTGGGACAGCAAGGGGGTTTTCACAAGGGTCTAAAGGCTCGAGGGGAAGGCTCAGGTGCCTCGTTGTGGGGGAGGGGGCGGTGAGGGGTGTGTGTGTGTGTGTGTGTGTGTGTGGAGCACAAACATTTAAACCAGGAAGGGGAGGTCTGTGCTGGCCACAGCTGTGGGGAACACGCTGTGCTGCTCAGCTGCTCTCGGGCTTTGGGCCCCCCTTGTCCTCCCTGGCCCTCCTGAACCTCAGCTGCATCTCCACGCTGACTGCTCACCAATGACTGCTGACGCCCTGTACCAAGCACTGATGAGCGCCTCACAGGCCCAGCCAAGACCAGGCTGGGACTCCCACCCGACAAGGTGAGTGGGGGGACGGGGGGCGGCACTGGGACTTGGGCGACGCTCTTGCTGCTGCACGCCAGCTTTAGTGTGACTTTGGGCAAGGCTCGTAACCTTCCTGAGGCTCGGGGCACTTGACTCTAAGATGGAGTACCACCACCCTTGTACATCCCACTGCCTGGTGGGCACCCCTGCTGAAAGGCTCACAGATATTTTGGACTCAGCATCACCAAAATGGAGCTCCTAATCTTTCCCAGCCCCCTGCTTGCAACAAGTGGCTTTTCCATCCGGAGAATGCTCTGGCAACACACTGGGCAGTCATCCCGGACTCGCCTCAGCTTGCGCACCATACCCAGCCATGAGCGAGTCCTGTTGATGCCACCTCTACAGGAATCTGGAATCTAACCCATCCCCTCCACCTGCTCATGCTGCCGTTATCCTCTCCTTTCCGCCCCCCCCCCCGAGCATGCCCCTGCTGTGCCCTCCCACTCTGTCCTGTGGATAGCGGCCAGCAGGCCAGGCAGTGCTTTGCTCAGACCCTCAGGGGCTCCATCTCATTCAGGCGGAAAATTTAGGGTCTTTATAGAGGCCCATGAGGCACCCCCCCCCTTAGCTCCAACCCCTACTTAAAACTGCAGCACCACCCCCCACCCCCCTGTCCCCCGCCTCCTGCCCCTGTCCTGGACAACTGGGCCACCTTCCCCGTCTAGTTTTTCCCTACACTTCTTGCCATCAGACACATCACATACAGCCTTTGCCCTCTAGCCTGCCTGCTCCACGGGCAGGGAGTTGTGCTCTTGTTCTCTGCTGCATCCCCATGGCCTACAACAGGGTCTGTATGTTGGTATCCTGCTAGGTGATGACTGCAGGGAGGGAGGGTGCCCTGGAAGGAGTGCAGGGGTGAAGCTAAACAGCCTGCAGGGCTGGTACAGACACACATGGGCTGGGCTTTGTGAGCATCACCTTGCTGAGTCCTCACAACAGCACCCTGAATATGCAGAATTATCCACCTTCAACTGATGTGGAAACCGAGGCTCAGAGAGGTGGAGTTACTTGCCCAAAGTCACACAGCAACTAAACAAGAGTGAGGTCTGGCTTCAGAGCCCTGGACCTTGGCATGGCACAACTCTGGGGGACACGGGTAGCAGCGGGGAAAAGCCCTGCACTGGACTGCACAGTCTCTACCCTGCAGAGCTGCGGGGAGATGGGGAAGGAGATAGGGGACTCTCCATCAAAAGGGACTCTGTCAGTTTGTTGTTCAGGAATGACTCGTTCCAAATAAGGAACAGCTAGCCTAATTTTGATCCCTTTTGAGGGAATCTATATTTTGAACAGAAAATGATGGTCTTAACCTAGCCATTCTCAGCCAGGGTTGACTTGTTCCCCGACCGAAGAGGTACCTGATGGAGTCTGGAGACATTTTTGATGCCATGACTTGGGGAGGAAGGTGCTCCGGGCATCTAGAGGGTAGATGTGAGGCATGCTACTAACCACCCTGTAACGTGGGGGGGGCGGGGCATCATCAGATCCACTCAGGGCAGTGAGAGCTCCAAGATCAAGAAGCAGGTCTCTTAGCTCCTTGCTGCTCCAAGTGTGTTCTGAGACCCAGCAGCGGGAGTGTCTCCCGGGAGTTGGGGAGAAACAGAAGCCTGACCTAGACCATTCTGAACTGGGACCACACTCAACAAGATCCAGGCAGTTTGAGCAAATGGTGACGCAAGAGAAGCCCTGACCAAAGCCTAGACACAAAGGCCTAGAGGGTTGCTCTAGGGAGCAGCTGCTGGACAGAGACTCTCCTCAGCATCAGGTCAAGACCCAGGCCTGACTAGGGAGATGCCTCGTTACACACATGCAAGAACAGGGGTGGCCGAAATTATTCAGAATGGGCAAAGCTTCATTTTCTTGGAGTGAGTCTTCAAAAAGGCAACCAATGCAACCCAGCTAGGCAGCTCAAGCCAGAGTGCCAGCACCCATGGGGTCACTGGTTCCATCCCAGACTGCCTGGCTGCCCCCACCCCCACCATGGCAGCTCACTCTTCAGGTTTGGCAAGCCCGTGCCTAGGAAACCCTGTTAGGGAGACCCCGGGCCCCCGGGCCTGCCCAGTGGTCCCTGGCACCCACTCACTTGAGGACCTCCCTGCTCTTCCCCAGCAGGGACTCCAGGTAGGAATAGCCCAAGGCCCGGTAGAAGCAGTTCCCATCCCCCTTGGTCTTGCGGATCGCGGTGAACCTTTTGCTGAGTTCCTGTGGGGCAGAAAAGGAAATGTGGACATCTGCACTACCATCACCCCTCGTGTCATGTCCTGTGGGAGCCAGGGCCCCCACCTCCCCCAGGTAACATCTGCTGCCTCCTCTCAGAGCCTTCACAGTCTCCCAGCTACCCTTCATCACACAAATGTAAAACCGTGCTGAGCCTGTCCTTGTGGCAGGCACCGAGTGATGAACGGGTCATGGTCCACCCTCAGGCAGCCCACAGTCTGGGGAAATGGGTCATTACATAACTAATAACAGGACAGGAGAAGCACGGGGCGGGGGGGCTCGGAGCAGTGGCATCAGAAGTCTAGGAGGGCTTCTGGAGGAATAGCACTGAGAGGAGCAGAAGTAGTGTGCATGGTACAGGGGAGGCATGGGTGAGCAGAGGCCTTGAGGGGTGAGGTGGGGTGTGGCTGAGCAGTGGGCCAGGAGTTTGCAGAGTTGGTAGGAAAGACCTCCTCAGACATAACTAAGCGGTCTGGCCAGTCCTTCAAACATTTCTCAAAAGGTGTGGCCCTCCCCAGGCCACTCACCTCCAGCTCTGCTCTGAGCTGCCAATTTCCCTCTGAAATGCACTCGAGTCTCCCTGGCTGCCTCATGGGGCTACAGTTGGGTTTTGATAGCAAAGCATGGCCTTCAAGGCATCGGGGGGGGGGGGTCCCTGCTCCTATCACAGCAATGAGACAGACAGCTTGGAACTAATGGGGCCCATTTCAGGCATGGCAGCAGTGAAGGTCATGCTCCTTGGGAACCCCATCTCATCTCCTGAGAGTGTTGCAGGGTACATGAGTCCCTGCGGCCCAGCCCGTGCTCCTACCCCAGGAAGTGTTCCCTGGGGCTGCAGGAGACAGTCCTGCCAACGAGCAGAGAGAAGCAGAGGCATGCTGCCCCAGAGACAGAGCCCAGGCTCCTCCTCCTGCCCTGGTTCTGTGAGCTGTCCCTGCATCCTTCTGGTAAACTCCCCTTTTGCAAAGCCCAGCTGGAGTGGCCATTCCCCGCTGAGAGATGCCCTAGCACAGTGGTTATGGATGCAGCTTATGAGATCAGGCTTCCTGGTCCAAATCCCAGCTTGTCCACTCACTAGCTGTAGGACTGTGGGCCTGCCATTTAGTATCTATGCCTCGGTTTCCTCAGCCGTAAAATGTGGATAATAAAAGTACTGACTTTGCAACACTGTAATGAGGTCTCAGTGAGTAAATAAAGCACTTAGGATAGTACCTAGCTTTAAAAAAATTTTTTTAAATATAGCAACTAAAAAATTTCTCAGAGGCAAATGCCCAACATCAGAATATTCTGGGAGCCCTTTAATTTGCCCTGGAGCCTGGCCCCAATGCTAAGCTGTTCTGCTTTCAAAATGGCACCTTTGACTCCAATCCCAGCTCCAGCGCATTAGCTCTAAGATCCTCTCCCCCCGCAAACCTGTCTCACCTTGATTTTCCTCTGGTAAATCCTGTTTTCAGGATGATCCCGAAGAATTGATAGAATGTCACATTTTTCTGATATTAGGTTGAAAGATGTTTCACTCTGCAAGAAAAAGCAGAGCTGTGACAATTTCAAAGCAACTGACGGGTTTCCACCAAGTAGATCCATGGCATAGGGAATGGTACCTTCCCACAAAAGGCACATTCCCTGTTATCTTGGATGTCAGTTCCCTGGACAGGGAGCCAGGGTCGGCCCCATCATGTAGGGGTGTCATCCTGTACCTTCTGAATGGATTCATTTTAGAGTATAACCCCTTGAACCTAGTGAGCCTTCATGCTGGAGTATGAGGTGTCTCCTTGTCTCCTGTCCTTCCTGTCTCACTCATTCATTCTTTTATTCGCCACCAATTCCTGAACATCCAGCCTGCACCAAGCATTGTGTAACAAGGGGAAATAGAGGTTGGAACATCCGGCAGACGCACCACCTACCAGCGGAAGTCCATACTGCAGCCCAGCTGGAGTCCGGGTCAATTCCAACCCAGAGATCAGCTTCCTGTCCCAGAGGCAGGGCTCTGGAGGGCTGAGGAGAAATCCACAGGGAGCAGGTAATGGCAAGAGGCGGCTTCCGGGCCAGGGAAAGTGCAGGAGATGTCTCTGTTCTAGTAGCCAACTCCCTGCCAGCCGCCTCTCTGCCTCAAGCTGTTCCCGCCCAGACTCTGCCTGGAGAAGTGGCAGATGCACCCCTGCCTCCAACCCATCCCTAGAGCAGCTCTGATTCCAGCGTGAAAATAATGTACGAGGAATTGGTATTAAAGTCACATGTCATTTAGTTTAAGAGAAGTGGCCCTGGTGCTTGCACATAACCCAAGGGGACAGTTATGCAATACCGCACAGCTGTACGCTTGATGTTATTTGGGATTTTTGTGACTGGAAATCCAGTTTTCCATCCATTTATTACCATCATTTTGGACAGAGGTGTTGTCAGAGCTCAGCACTTTTACTTTATGCCTCCTACCACACAGGCCTTTCCTGGGCAACCTCTCTTGCCTCCTCACGGACTTGACAATGACCTCAACCCCATAGGGCTGAAGGCTTACAGAAGAGCCTTGAGGGCGCCTGGGTGGCTCAGTTGGTTAAGCGACTGCCTTCGGCTCAGGTCATGATCCTGGAGTCCCGGGATCGAGTCCCACATCGGGCTCCCTGCTCAGCGGGGAGTCTGCTTCTCCCTCTGACCCTCTTCCCTCTCGTGCTATCTCTCATTCTCTCTCTCTCAAATAAATAAATAAAATCTTTAAAAAAAAAAAAAAAAAAAAGAGCCTTGATATTACAAGCCCCTTTCCACCTGGAAAAAATGTCTGGATTTTTGATGATTAGATTTTGCCAGAGCTCAGCACTGGAAGCAGAGAGCTGGGCCACAGGATCATACAACGAGCTGTGAGTGACTTCTGGGGCTACCCATCTCCACACTGGACAGACTCAAACTTCTGACAATGAGCTGCTTTGACTGGGAAGGGACATTTCTGGCGGCCTGGATGCTCCCTGCCATCAAGGTCTCCAGAGCTACACAGGCCTCCCTTGGCACAGGACAGCTTGTCACACTACCCAGGACCTTCCATTTACCTGATGCCCCAGGGCCCATCACAGGGCCTGGAACAGAGCAGGGGATGAGAGGTTTGTTAAACGAATAAAAGCCACTGCCTCCATGAAGCCTTCTGGCTTGCCCCACCTCATCCAAGTCAGGCTTGGGATCTCCCTTGAACTCACACTTCATTCCTTTTCTCCCTTTCTGGTGGCCTCAAACATGCCCTCTCCTGGATTGGGGTGGCGGTGGTCAGACCAACTTCCCAGAGGAAAACCTGAGTGGAGAAGGATGAATGTGTTGTCCCAAGAAGAACAGGAGGAAAAGGCTTTCTAAAAGAGGGAACAGGGCATGCAAATGCTTGGTGGGTCGGGAAAGAGACTCTGGGTTTTATTTCTGGAAGCTTCCATTCCATACCCACATTCTCTGCAAAATTAAGTTAGCCTCAGGCTCCTTCCTCACTTCAGCTCAGACAGGGGCAGAGGAACCATCAGGAGTTGTGAAATAACCATGCTGGGGCAGATACTGTGGGCTGCTTTTCACATCAGCCACTACCCATTTCTTCCCTACTAACAGGGCCCCTGTTTTACTCCAGGCAATGTGGTAGAAAATGTCTGGGCCAAGTCATGACAACCCTAACCTCTTCAATGATTTTTCTAGCCTTCCTTATATCTATGGGCAGCCAGGTGATCAGGGCTGGTCAACTGGATCCATGACAAGTATTCTGGGGGGGCTCGGGGAAGGCTTTTGGTTTTGGATAAAAGGAACAGAGATGGCATGTCCTATTCCTTCCTCCTTCTTCGTGCCTTCAATGCAGATGCAATGTCTACATTACAATAGCCATCCTGTGACCATGAGGCTGAAAGCCAATATGTGGAAAATGGTTGGATGATTTGCTATCCTAAGTCCAAGATGTAGAGAATAACAGATGCCATGATTGTGCACCTACTATGTGCCAAGCTCTGGGACAGAGGCTTACATATCCCCATTATCTCATTAATTCCCCACTAACAGTTAATTATACCCACTCCACTGACAAGGAGGTGATTTAGTGCAGATCTGTCTGACTCTGAAACACTTGGAAATTCTACCAAGCCAAACTGCTAGGCAAACAGAGCTCAGAGTCTAGCTTTTGAGGGAGCAAGGCTGCTAGACCTTAAAGGAACACTGTGTACAGGGCAGGCTAGGGCCTCTGCACCATCAGGCCAGGTCCCAACCTCCTGCCCCTGTGGCCCCAGCCGGGCAGACAGCCTGGCTCTCTACCCAGCTCAGTGCCTCCAGCAGTGTCCCCCAGTCTAAGGACATTCATCACAGAGGGAATAAGAGATGATTTACAGGTGATGTCCGGACATGATGTTAAAAGACATCAGGACATCAGGAGGGAAAGTTATTCTCTTGTCAGTTTCCTTCAAAATTTCTAATCATGCCAACGAGAAAGTTGGTTTCCAACATACTTTTAACTCCTTCCCACTCCTAGTGTCTTTTGGCCAGTGAGCAGGGAGCCTAAAAGTGTTCCATTTTCTTTAAGTAAGCTTTACACCTAACGTGGAACTTGAACTCACGACCCAGAAATCAAAAAGTCACAGCTCTACCAACTGAGCCAGCCAGGCGCCCCAAAGGGTTCCATTTTCATTTGCAATTCTTTTTAAATGTAAAACAAGCCAGCTTTGAGGGGCACCCGCGACCTTGATCTCTGGGTCACGAGTTCAAGCCTCCACTGGGTACAGAGCTTACTTAAAACCAAAAAGGGCGCCTGGGTGGCTCAGTTGGTTAAGCGACTGCCTTCGGCTCAGGTCATGATCCTGGAGTCCAGGGATCGACTCCTGCTTCGGGCTCCCGCCTTAGTGGGGAGTCTGCTTCTCCCTCTGACCCTCACCCCTCTCATTCTCTCTCTGTCATTCTCTCTCAAAAAAATAAAATTTAAAAAGATATATTAAAAAAAACAACCCCCCCCCAAAAAAAGCCTGTTTTATTAATTTGGTTGGCATTTTTATGAGAAGTGAACGTGTTTGGATCTATTCTAAATCATGGAAGAGTTCCATTATTGGTATAACAACTGTTGCTGTACGGTTCATCTTGCGCTCCTACTACTATGTGCTAATAAAGGACCCCATTAAGTTTCAGAATAAAAAATCCACTTCTGCGGTTTTGAGGGAAAAGCAAGGTGACCCTCAGGTATGTTTCAACACAGCCAGCATGCCCACCCTATGACACCCTCTCACTCACTCTCACTTCATTCCAAAGTCCCATTATCCACCTCACTAACAAAAGGCTTGTTTTTACAGGCCGCGGACTTAAAATGTTGGCTCGGGTCTTTTTTTTTAAGATTTTATTTTATTTATTTGACAGAAAGAGACAGTGAGAGAGGGAACACAAGCAGGGGGAGTGGGAGAGGGAGAAGCAGGCTTCCCGCGGAACAGGGAGCCTGATACGGGGCTCGATCCCAGGACCCTGGGATCATGACCTGAGCCGAAGGCAGATGCTTAACCAACTGAGCCACCCAGGCGCCCCTCGGGCCTTTCTAAACATGGATCAAAAAGCACTACCAATGGTATCTAACGCTGCTTCTGCCTGGCCTGCCCCAAACAAAACCCAGGCAGACAACGGGCTGGGGGAGTCTGTAGTTGTATTCAGTCGTTTCTGAGAGGATAGTGATGGAGGCATGGAAAGGAGTTTAAGGAATTAATCTGAACTATGTAAGGATAAGTGCTGAAGATGGTAGCAAAGCGCCATCAACGGTCAAAATGAGATTAGCAGTAGATCAGGGAAAGGGACACGCACCTTGGACCAGGAAAGCCGATCTAGATTTTCCACTTGCCATAATATAAACTTGGCCTGAGGGGCAAATTTCCTTAGGCTATTGAATTTAAAGGAAAAATATTGAATAGCTGTTCGGGGCGCCTCTTGGCCACTGAGGGTGGAGCTCATCATTCTCGGGGTTCGAGAGCCCCACTGTCAACACTGGCTTCTCCTTCATCCCTGTTCCCATGCACCCCACCAGTAGGTAGTCCCTGTGGCACGTGTTTCAATAAGTACCTGTCTTTTTATTGAGGGAAAGTATATATAAAATACACCCCCATAACCACTTTTAAGTTTACAGTTCCGTGGCATTTAGTACACACATGATTGTGCAACTATCACCACCTTCCATCCCCAGAACTTTTTCATCATCCCCACCTGACCCTCTATCCATTAAACATTAATTCCCCATTCCCGCCTCCCCCCGCCCCAGCCCCTGCAGCCACCATCCGACTTTCTGTGAATCTGCCTATCCCAGGGACCTCATTTAAGTGGAATCTATTGGTCTTAAAACTACAGAGTTTTATGTATGCGTGTGTTTTAAATGTGCATACAGATATTGTGACCTTTTTATTTTGCTTCATTCGATACTATTTTAAGATTTACCCCTCCTGACAAATGGGTTCCCTGGTGGGCCTCCTCCACCACAGGTGATGGAGCCTCGGGTTAGCTCCGGCGCCCCCTCGTGGTCACAGGTGGATTTATCGGGGCGCCGGGGGCCCGGG